CCAGTCAGGGTACATGGCTAGGTTGTGGGCCCAATCCCCAGTGTGGGGCATGCAGGAGGCAGCCAATTGATATTTTCTCTCATTGATGTTTCTATCTCTCTCCTTTCCTCTCTCTCTAAAATCAATAAAGAAAAAAAATGTAAAAAAAATAAATAGGGGTGGAAGGGGATAGGGAGGAGGGAGTCAATGGGGGGAAAAAGGAGAAACATCTATAACAAAAATAAATTAATAATAAATAAATAAATAAATAAATAAATAAATAAATAAAGTGTCCAGAACCTCCCCCATCACCCCCACCCCAGCACATCCAGCTGGGGTATAACTCTAATGCTACAGTAGGTTTTTCTGCTTCGCTGTGTCCCTTTTCTCTTGTCTTCCACAAGACACTGTTATTCCTCTATTCCCTTAATATCTTTATTTTCTCCTTGTTTTTTATACTATTTCTTCCAACTTTTAGTATAAGCTCGAGTAGGTAGAGCAAATGCACTATCTTTCCTCTTCAGTAGTAGGGAGACTATTATGTCTATACCAACTGTAACTGATGATCACCTCAAGCAAGAGAACAGTTTACAGACTGTAACAGTTCTGACTCCATATTTCCTGGAGTTTTATAGTTTTCCTTGAAAACTACCACAGAAAATTGCTTCATTCCCATGCCTACTTTTCAAAGGGTGCACCTTGAAAACCGGTTTATGTCTGTTTGTTTCCTTATCTGTGTGCTAACCTCTCATTTCCATGGCACAGGGCAAAGTGTCACCACTCTGTTCTGCAGTATCCTTCACTCACAGTCACCCTCCCCCTGAATTCTGACCCTTCTTTTTGTCCTGTGACTGGGTAAAGCCCTGCCCCCCACCCCCACCTTGTTGTACCAAAGGTTTTCTTTCCCAGTTCTCCTCACCCCATCTTGCTGCTCAGGCAACTTTGCCTACTGCTTTATAAACCCTCTCTGGGCATTCCAGAGGATCCCCTATCAGCCCACTCTACCTCAGTTGTGCAACACAACCAGACTTTATCACCGTCAAAATAAGACCTGAATTTTCACAACACTCCACACAAGTCTTTGTTTCAAGACTCTGTTTTTTTAAATTGTGGTTCTTAAAACTCTACATTTACCAATGGGTGATACATTAGCCCCCTCTGGGGTAAAAACCTACTTCAGGTTAAAGGGCATCTCTTAACTTGTCTCTGTACTGTCAACACCTCTGTATGCATCCCCAACCTAGGGAGGAAGAGGAGTATCTAGGGGCACTGGAGATTCAGACAGGAAGTCCCTCCCTCAGGGGAACCTCAGTTGGGATTGATCTTCAAAAGGTTCCAAAGACTGAAGATATATGTATGTCCTTGTTTCAGAAAAGAGAATGGCTGCTGTTGGCCAAAGGGGAGCCCCTAAGCCAAGGACACAGCCTGAAAGGAGCTGCCACCACCTTCTATGTGATCATGCCATCACGCTCCCTCACTCTGCTGGTGAAGGCAGTGGCCACGCGGGAACTGATGCTGCCCAACCCCTTCCCTCTGCTGCCTGAGAACCCACCTGATGACAGCCTTAGAATTGTGGAGGCAAGTGGAGCCCACATCTCATGAGACAGATAGAGGGGAGAGAAGAGAAGGGAATTCAAGAAAGAGATGAGGGAGAGGAATGAGCCAGTAAAGGGAAGGACAGGGAGCTGAGGGAGACGTGGCCCAAAGGGTGTGGTGAGAGGATCAGAGAAGAAACAAGGTTAGGAACTGAGGCAGGGCAGGAGGAAGTAAGCAATAATGGTGTGTTCCCATGGGTCTCTGCATTATGGGTGTGTATGCGTGTGTACCTGTGTTTGTATGCATCTGTCTGTTGAGGGAAAGAAAAAATGTAAGCAGACAATGTAAGCTACCAGAATAGGAAGGATTTCAAAATCAGACTTCAGTGCAAAGGAGGAAACAGCTCTGAAGGCCATTTTCTCCCCCTCCTCCTCCTCCTCCTCCTCCTCCTCCTCCTCCTCCTCCTCCTCCTCCTCCTCCTTGGATCTGGATTCTGGATTTCCTCTGCCAGCCTCCTCAGTCTGAAGACAGGAGGGCGGCTCTGGGTGGGGAGAACTGGAACCACCTCGCTGTTGGATCACGGACTTATGTGAAAGGAGGACAGAGCCTGGGATTGTGCTCTTGGCTTGGCGGCCATGGGAATGCAGAGAGAGGTGGGCACAGTGGCTGTGGCTCGCTCAGTGTCTCACTTCAGGGCCAATGGCTCCTGGCACAGGATGTTGTGGCCGGAAAACCTGACTGCTCAGGAATGCTGTGCTCGCGTGTCCTTTGGTTCTGCTCACCTCGCAGGCAGGCCAGAACTCAGTAGCCTTGCCTTGCAGACTGTGAGCACCCCAGGTCTGGACACACCCTCCCTCACAGCCTTGCACACTGGATCCCTTGTATTCCTCATGATGCTCTGGAATCCCATGACACACTTCTCAGAGCCCGAGTGTTCAGGGTCCCTAACCAGTCAGGTTTGCTCCAAATTCTTGTGCCTCTGCCTGACACTTACCTCACAAACACTCAGGCCTGGGGAACAGAACACCCTGCGGGACATTCATCTATTTCACAGCCTCCAGAGACACCCTGGGTCTTCACACCTCCTCCTGCCTCTTACACTCAAAGGACTCTCACTTGACATCTTGTGTTCTGTGACCTCAAGTTCCCCAAGTGAAGCACCTCCTCTCTTCCTCAGAGTGTGCTGGACAGCCTGGAGCTAGAGCCCACCTACAACCCCTTGCAGGTCTGGAGTCACCTGTACTCACACCTGAGCAGCACCTTTGCCAAGCCCCAGGGCCGACTCCACTCAAGCTGGGAGAGCCGGGCCCAGAGAAAGGTACGGCTCCCCTCCTTACTCCCTCCTCCCCCATTATGCCCAGAATCCAAAAGACCCCTTCTCCTGCCCATCCCAGGGAATAGCCCTCTCCTCTGGATCTCCCCTGGTGGAGGAGAGAACCAGGCCAACAAGGAAGAAAAAGAGCAGCCCTTTGCCCTAGACAAAGGAAATTACAACCCCAATCCCTCCCCAGTGGGGGAGCTGTTCTGCTGGGGCATTGCCATATGTATCTTCAGGTATCTTAATTTCATGTTTAGTCATTTAACAGACCATTGTCCCACTAAGCAAACTGGCTGCACTGGAACTACAAGCATAGCCCTTCATCAAAAGGAAAGGCTGAAGGGAAGGTAGGGAAAGAAATGCCCCAGGGAAGGGAAATTAGCATTTACTGAGCACCTGTCATTTGCCAGGTTGTGTGACAAGCTCTTTCACATATAATTTTCTTATTTACTCCTCATGGCATCCCTGAAAGGTAAGTGTTATACTCATTTTTCAGATAAGCAAAGGGAGGCTGACCAAGGTTAGTAGCTTGTAGAGAGGGCTCTAGTGACAAGGGTTAAAGAGAGAAGAGTAATTGAATGTGGAGAGTTATCTTTATAAAATCTATATTTTATATTTGAGCTTCCTTTTGCCCTTATAACTTTTTCCAGTTTCACAGTAATAGAGCCTTTAGAAAGCCACTTTCCCTTAGCTGAAGTTACAAGAAGTGTTTTAAGACTAGGAGGAACTGAACTGTTAGCTGGTGGGCAAGCTAACAAAGGAGGGACTCAGCCAGGGCATGGGCACTATGGAAGCTGGAGTCCAGTGGACTCCACTGTCCTGAGCCTCGAGGCTGTCACTCCAGGGATGGGACAAGGGAATGAGTGAGGACAGCAGACTCAGAAGGGAATGGGATAGGAGAGCAGGAACTCTGGTCTTCAGAAGTGGCTCTACTCACTTTCTTTTCAGGCTGGGCAGTTGCAGACAAATCGAGTTCGAGCCACAGTGGCCCCTCTACCTATGATTCCAGCCCCTGGCAGAGCACCCAAGATGCCAGCTGCCAGCAAAGCCTCCTCAGATGCCTTCTTCCAGCTTTCCAAGGAAGAGGAGGAAGAGGAGGAGGAGTATCCCTCGGGGCCTTAACAGCACCAGAGCCTGGCTGCCCTGCTCAACCACATCCATGCTAAGGCTCACATGATGGTGTTCTGAGGTCAGACTTGCCTTCCATCCACCTGAGCCTGTGAGCTCTATGCGCCTGAGAAATAGCCTCCCCCCCCCCCTCCCCACACACACACACACACCCCTCTATCCTGGGGAGAGACCTACTCAAGCCTCTTGCTTCTCCAAGCAAGGACTCATTATCTTTTTTTCTTTTCTTTTTTTTCTCATTTTCTTTTGCGTCATTTGATATTGTTAACACAGATGAAGAACAAACACCCAGTAAACTTTAACACCATTAGGAGCATTTCTGGCCCTGAATTTCTCCTTGTAGCTCTGTGTAAGCAGGTGGAAGTAAGGTCGCCTTTGGGAAATGGCCTCAAGAGACAAGGATGAGGTTTTCAGAGCTCATGAAAAACAAGTAGGATTGCCCTCCCAATACACCCACCACATTGTAGTTCCCTTTAGGCTCCAAACAGAAAAGTGCTTGATATTCAGTACCTGCATGCAGTGTGCATGGAAGGGATGAGTGCGGGGGAGGGTGTCACATGGCTGAGGACAGGGGAGCCGATGGTATGAAAAAGACCTATTCCCTTCCTATTCTCCTCTCCTCACACCTGCCTACCTTCCCATCAGCCCTGTCCATCCACAGGATAATAACTATAAAATGCTCACTCTGTATTTCAAATTGCACTAAGTACTTAAGAAATTTAACTGCTTCCATACAAACAACCCCATGAGGTAGAGCCTGTTACTAAGTTTTCCCAGTTTACAAAGGGACAGCAGGGGTAACTAAGGGTTACAGATGTTATAAAACTCACCCAAGGTCACAGAGATGGGGTCAAGACCAATTGGGCTGGATGGACCACCCAGGCTCTGAACTGCCACTCTGCTCAGCTCCCCTCCCTGGGGTCCTTTCCTCCTTTCAAGACCCCCAGCACATTCCTGGTTCTCCTCCTGATCCCCTCCACACCCACCCACAGTACACCCTGCTTTTGTGTCCCCTCTGTGACTATTCACACACATAGACCTCTTAAACCCAAAATGACTTTAATGAGAATAAAACTTTTTAAAAAATAAACCTCTGGCAAAAAACAAAAAACAAACCAACAGCAATGCAGGGGAAAGGATCCAGGCACAGTCCAGCATCACCCTACAGCCTCCATGCAGGCCCCCCCAGCTGTACTACTCTGATCAAGAATCCTTTCCATAGACCTGGTCCAGCAACTGCCCATTCCTTTGGGGGAATGACTTAGGGATGCTGACCTCCCCTGGTGCCATCCCTGAGCCTCTGCCATCTGTCGCACTTCCAGGATTTCTGGGAATTAATCATTCTTCCCTTGACTCCCCTGATCTTTCTGGTCCCCTAGTCTCACACAGGCCCCTCCAGCCCTCTGGTTCCCACTGGTTCTAATAGGTTTCTTTGATTTCCCCCAATGCCATCTCTCCATGGTTCTCCTATCAGCAACCCCAGCCTTGCCCTACTTCTCATGTGGAACCCTCTGACTTGACCCCAGTCCTCTCAAGCTCTGCTCTAGAGAGCCCACAGTCCCAGCTCCCTGAGGCCCTGTTCTTCTGGACCTGGCTGTACAGGGCAGTGTCTGGGCTGTGGCCTTTGCTGCCACTGCCAGTTGCACCAGGCTCAGGGAAGGCCAGGCCCTGGGGCTTGGGAGCTGGGACTGGCTTTGTGCTCCGAGGGGGAGGCACCGCGTAGTCATCAGTAGCGGGGTTGTAGGGGAGTTCATAGCCTTCCTCCTTCGCTCGAGCCTGGCACCACCATGCATCCTTCGGCTCCTGAGGTAGATCATAAAGGCCCCGGAGAGCAGCTGGGGCCAGGCCCTCAGGTTCATCATAAATGGGGTCCTCTTTGGGGTCCTTCAACTTGGCATTCATCAACTGCTGTGGCACATGCTCGTACAAGTCCCAATAGAGAGTTTTCTTTGACTGTACCCCCTCCCCTGCCTGAGCAGGGGTGCTGTCCAAAGGATCTGAGTATAGAGAATCCTGGGAAGGACCTGGAGGAACTCGCAGGGAGTCTAAGGGTTCAGCATATAGGGCTGGAGGGCTGTCTGGGAGCTCCTGGGCACCAGGGTGAGAAGCCAGCTTCCTCTCTGCCACTTCTTCATGGGAATCAACTCTAAGCACATCCTGCCCCTGACCAGCCTTGCCTTGGGCCTTCTGTTGATGGATAGCAGTCTCAACTGCCTGAAAGATGTCATTTCCCTGTGCCGTCTGGAAGGTAAAGGTTCCAGGGCCAGAGGGGCAGCGCCGACCAGCCTCAAATGAGAACATGACCTGAAAATAGTGTGAAGGGGAGCATGTTACCAGGAGCCATCAGGCAAGGTAAGACACAGGGGTATCTACAAAGAAAAGACTAGCTGGGGAGGGAGGTGGGCTTGTGGGCTAGGCAATAAGGGTTATCCAGAAGGCAGACCTTTCCACCTTCCTGCCCTGCCCCACCCAGCCCACAGCCCCAGACCCAGAAAGCTAGCCCTCTCAGACATCACCCCCACCTTGTCTCTGCCATAGCGACGCAACAGAGTATAGGGCCAAGAAAGGAGCGGCTCCAGTATCTGACTCTGGGTTCCCACAGTCAGGAGAGTCAGCTTCTCAGCCTCCACCCTCAGCACATAGGAGCCATGCAGGCCACAGCGCTCAGAGGCTTCAGTCCTCTGCATGGTCACCCAGAACTGGGATCCTGGAAGAAATGCACAATTAGGGACAGGGAGCGGGGGCAGGTTGTCCCAGCACTTACTTGTAAGCCAGCTCTCAGGAACTTCCTACTTCCCCATGGGTCCCTGGATCTTCTAATCAGCCCTTTCTCGGGTGCACCCTTCCTTTCCACCTCATCCCAGCCCAACTTTTCAGGCAGCTACCTTCCCAGGTGGGGCTATACAGCGAGTTCTCCAGCATTTCCAGGGCAGAAAGTTTGGGTGGGTTCTCAGTAGGCGCCACAGCCCAGTTACCTTTCTGGGGTAAAGAGAAAGACAGTATTGAGAACCCTGTCATTCCCTCAATGCAGTTCCGAGGGTCTGAGCCAGCCCAGTTCCTCTGCTGCTGTAACTACCCCCCACCCCACACCGCCTCTAGGACTCAGTTCTGTTCGCCCCAGCCCCTCGCGGGCAGACCTGGCCCCCTCACCGGAAAGGCATTTAGGCACAGCGTTTGCACCCATGCGGCGCTGGAAGGCGCGTCGGCCGCCAACAGATGGGAGCGCTGTAAGGTGTCCAGGCGGAAGGCGGTGGCTCCAGGCTCAGGGGGGCTCTCCACGGCCACCGGCACCACGCTCACACACTCGGCTAGACGGATCACCTTGCAGTCCAGGCGGCGCGTGCTCCCTCGGCCCCCAGAGTTCGACCCCTTGTGGTCAAAGAACTCGAGGCGCGCTACGCCGTGGGGACTAGCCGGGTAGAGCACCGCCCAGGTCTTCTTCCACCTCTGCGGAAAAAGAGCGAGAGTCGCTGGGGAAGCAGCGGACGAGTGCTGGCGGCCCGGCCCCGACGGGGAAGGAGGGACCAGCGCAGGCAGCTTTGAGTCTGAGGCTTCCCGACGGAGGCAAAGTTTCCCGAGGAGGATGCCACGGGGTCTCCCCAGGGCCAGAGATAGCGTACCCCAAGTCCGGTAGACGCGTCTCCGCAGTGTGCGCTGAGTTCGCGGGAACTTCACAGGGTTCTCGGCTCCCGGAGAGGCGCTCTTACCCGCTGCCCACCCCTCCCTCTTCCTGGGCCCTACCGCCCACCTATCGCTTTGATGGGGTTCGGCACCCCTACCCCAGATTACCTTGGTACCGAATCGCTGACTCTGCAAAAAGAGCGGCCCTTCCATCACAGCCCCGTCCATGGCCCCCGGCGGTTCCTTCTTTGCTTCCTGGCCTAGCAGACTGGAGGCGGGGCGGGGGCGGGACGAGGGCGGGCCCGAGCCCTGGCGAGGCGTTCCCGCCCGGCCCCAGACCCCACGGACCGCGAATAGGGAGGAAAAAGAGGAGCAAAAAGGAAGAGAGGAAAGGTCCCCAGATAAGCGGGACGGCGCACTCCCTCCGTCCCTACCCTACCCACAGCGCTGGGACGCGCACAAGTGGCTCCACCAAAAGAAACTTCGCGGTTTCGGCCAGAGAGCTCTGGTGCCTGGGCTTGGGAGCTGCGTGGGACGTCATATATTCAACATGACATAGGAGTGAAGGCCGTGACATCACCTGGAAAATGCCGACGGGCACCCTGGGGACCTGGAAAGGCCACGTGGGCCCTCCTATCCTAAGTTCCCCCGACCAGACCTGCCCCCAGCTTGTCTGTTTACTCTCCACGGATACCGGGACGTGGAGGAAGGGCTGGGGGCTGGGGACTGGAAGGCTTCCTGAGCCCGGAGCTGAGCCGTGGCCTCCCGCCGCCACAAGGGCCGCCGCCCGGGCAGGGCCGCAGCCCCGTGGCCTCTTGCGTGTCCAGTTCTCTGACCGCAGCTGCCCGGCCTCCAGCCCGAGGGAAAAGAAAGCTTCATTGAGCGGGCTGGGAGGGGCGGGGCGGGGGGAGGTGGAGCAACAGCGGATAGCTGGCTCCACGGGGGAGGGGAGGACCTAGAGGAGGGACCTGGCCTGCGAGGAATTCAGGGAGAAGGCGGAATGTGGGAGGGCTCAACGAGACGTGGGAGGGACAAAAAGAGAGGGGTGGGGGGAGAGCGCGGGGGTCTAGTCTCCCCTGGCCGAGCACTTTTTTGGAAGTCCTAGGACTGATCTCCAGGACCAGGACTCTTCTCCCAGCGTCTGGGGCCCCCGCTCAGCCAAAGGTAGGGGGGTCACGCTGCCGGCAGGAGGAAGGGGAGTTGCGGATGGAGAGGATGGTGGAGGGTCCAAGGCAAAGGGGCGAAGTGGGATGGAGTCGAGGGGAAGCCAGCCAGCTAAAGGTTTTATTATTGTCAGCGAAGAGTGAGACAAGATTGGAGAGAGAAGGCAGATTTGGGGGGGGGGGAGATGCGGCAGGGTTTTCCAAATAGGGCAGGTGGGAGGGTCCTAAGGCTGGGGACTCCTCTGTGAGGCCCTACCCCTAGGTCCCCAAGCCAAAATGTCCCCAGAACAAAGCTGTCCTGTTGGGTTGTTTGTCCGAGTCTGGGGAAGCATGTTGGTCGCCCCCCACCCCCACCCCCCTACTGTAGAGGAGCTGTTCTCAGCCCCAGACAGAGGGAAGGCCTTGGCTGAGAAGATGAATGGTGCCCCAGCCTCTGGTTGCCCGGTGACAGCGGTGGCGATGTTGGCAGGAGGCTTGGACAACCCCACCCCATCCCCCCCATCCAGCTTGAAGCCTGGTCCTCCTGGGCCCCTTGACCCTGCAGGGCACGTGACAGCCTGCTGGTTAGGGCATGCAATGGGCTCTCAATGCACTCTAGTCTCTGCCCTCTCTGCCTCAGAATCTGCTCAGATAGGACTCTGGGTTTGGCCTCCATTCATGGGGCCCTAGATCCGAGGGTCTCCTAAGCCCCCCTTGCCTGCTTCTCTCTACAATCAATAGCTGTCTCCTCTGTCTGGCTGGCTGAATGCGGTCATCTGGGTCCCTCCCGCCTCTGCTTCTTGGCTCCTGTCAGTCCCTCTCCTCACCTGTTGCCTGCCTCCCTCAGCCACTCCCCAATTCTGTGCCTGACTGTCTCACAATCACCTTCTGTCCATCTTCAACATCTCTTCTCCCCCCCACCCCCCGCCATTCCTGTCTCTCTCTGTTTGGCCCCCTTTCGTTCCCACAAATTCCCTTCCTGTCTGTCTAGGTCTTCCTTTTTTTGTCTTTTGCTCAGTCTCTATCTTTTTATCTCAACCATTCTCTGATTCTTGGTCTCTAATCATTGTCTTTTGATTTCTGGGTCTCTTATATTATTTTGGTTGGTTGGTTGGTTGGTTTTTTCTTTTTAAATCCTCGCCCGAGGACATTTTTGCATTTATCTTCAGATAGAGTGGGAGAGAGAGAGGGAGGAAGAGAGAGAGAAACATCGAATGGTTGCCACCCACATGACCCCAACCAGGACCAGGTACAAACTGCAACCGAGGTACATACCCTTAGGGGGAACTGAACCCAGGACTCTCCAGTCCGCAGGCCGATACTCTAACCGCTGAGCAAACCGGCCAGGGCTCTCTTATATTATTAATGGGGGTCATGATGGCGAAAATTATAGAACCAGGGAAGGTCATTGTGACACATTAACAATTAATAGTGAGAGTTTTATTCTTTACAAAAGGGAGGAAGAGTCTCTCTCTCCCTATCTATCTATATCTATCTCTATCTCCTTTCCTCCCTCCCTCTCTCCTTCTCTCTCCCTCTCCAATCTAAGTCTCTCAGTCTGTGCCTCCTTAACTCCATGTTTCAGCCTCTAATTAGTGTCAGTTTCTCTCTCACTGTCTTAGTCCCTGTCTTTCAGTCTCTAGTCGTATTGTTTCTTTTCCTCTCTTGACCTCTCTCCTCTCTCCTCCTCCTCCTCCTCCTCCTTCTTCTTCCTCTCTCTCTCTCTCTCTCTCTCTCTCTCTCCCTCTCTCTCTCTCCCTCCCTCCCTCCCTCCCTCCCCTGGGCCTGGCTCAATCTCAGTTTCACTCACATACACTCTCTCTCTGGGGCACCCAGGCCTTCTCTGCCATGGGACCTGTCAATGTCTGGCGGTGGAGCCTGTGGGGGCTGCTGCTGAGCCTGCTGTGCAGCTCATGCCTGGGATCTCCATCCCCATCCGTGGCCCCTGAGAAGAGGGCTGGGAGCCAGGGGCTGCGGTTCCGGCTGGCTGGCTTCCCCAGAAAGCCCTTCGAGGGCCGTGTGGAGATACAGCGAGCTGGCGAATGGGGCACCATCTGTGATGACGACTTCACGCTACAGGCAGCCCATATCCTCTGCCGGGAGCTGGGCTTCACAGAGGCCACAGGCTGGACCCACAGCGCCAAATATGGCCCTGGAACAGGTGAGCAATGCTCCACGTATAGCCTAAGTATTGCCTAAGTGTGGCCTAAGGGCAAGGAGAGAGAATATCAGGATGGCACAGCCACAGGGACAAAGGACACTGAGAATGAATAGCCAGTGTCAAGTAAACCCATGGGTGACAAACTAACCAACATGTCACTTTCAGAGATGTGTGATCATAGGCTGGTCAGTGCTTTCTCTAAGCCTCTGATGTCCCATGCACAAAAAAACGAGATGATATCTAAGTTCCTTTCTGCTGAACAAAGTATGATTCTCCAAAGCCATGCACGAGCACAGCCCTGATAAAGTAAGCCCTGTACGGTTCAAGTACAGTTGCTTTTGTTGGAAGCTGGAACAGGTAAGTGATGTCTGGATGTCCCAAAGCCAGACAGGATCACAGATACTAGAGCTGACAAAGTCTTATTATAGGCCAGAGATGAAACCAATAATCTGGAACTGACTAGGGCAAGTATGAATATGGGTAGTAGGAGCTTGGGAGCAATTCCAACTGAGGCCTGGGGGTACTTGCACGGTATGAGCCCACAATGGGGTCAATAGAAGCTGGTGCAGTCTGCAGCTGATATCCCTATTCCCACTGGCTAGACCACTTCTGGAAAATGTCACTTGTAGATGCCACATTTGAAGAGAGATGGTAGAAAATGGAAAAGAGGAGAGTTGCCCAGATGTGAAAGATCTGAAGCCAAGTTCCAAGGAGTAGTAGCTGAAGAAATAATGGATTTTTGATATGAAAAGAAAAAAGACTTAGGAAGCAATTACAATTACATGACGGTTGTCTTCAAATATGAGGACAGTCATGTGGCTGAGGGATTCTTTTGGGTGGTATCAAAGGCCTAAATCACACCTGGTAGAAACTTTGTAATGGTTTCGGCAGCCTAATGGGGCAGAAGGTAGGTGTCCCAGCAGAAGCTGGGGAAGTCCTGTCAGGATATGCTTCAAAGGTCTCTGCACAATGGCTGAGACAGATGACCTTTGAGAGTCCACCAAATTCTGAGAGGAAGGCAGTGACACTCATTTCAGTAAGGTTCGGGCAGAGAAAAGTACATGGAGCAATGTGGAAGCACAGACAAGGTGGGCACAGGGGAGGCTGTGAGGCTGAGGTGAAAGATCTTAGATTTCCAAGTCTCACAAATGGCTCAAACTCCTTAGCCCCCATTGGCTGTGTGGTCTTAGACAAGTTACTTAACTCCTCTGAACTCCCATTTTTTAATATAAAGTGGTGATAAGATCTTCTGGCATCTCTGTTCTAAGAATGATCATGTATGTACACACTGTGGCAGGGTGCCTAACACAATAGGTACTTGGTTAACTGTAGCTATCATTGAGTGGGTAAGAACTGAGCAGAATTTCAATACTGACTCTTGGTTTCTATTCACCGTACCAGATTTCTGAGCATCCCAAGGCCACCACCAACCCTCCATCAATCCTATGCTTCCTTATGTATTCCCTCCACGATCCCCTGACCCTTCCCACCCATTATCTTACCAGAAAAATAGGATCATCATGGCCAAGAGTGAAGAAAATGGAATCATCATGGCCAAGTGTGAGGGCTTCATGCTCACTCTCTGAACTCACCTATTACTCCCCCCGACCCTTCTTCCCCAAGCCTCTCTGTCCCCTCATTTCTCCTTCCACAGGCCGAATCTGGCTGGACAACCTGAGCTGTAGTGGGACTGAGCAGAGTGTGACTGAATGTGCCTCCAGGGGCTGGGGGAACAGTGACTGTACCCACGATGAGGATGCTGGGGTCATCTGCAAGGACCAGCGCCTCCCTGGCTTTTCTGACTCCAATGTCATCGAGGTCTGCAGTTCACACACACACACACACACACACACACACACCCCACAACCAGCCAGGATGGCCAGAAGACAGGGCTGTGGGCTGTTATATGTGGTTAGAGGAGACACTAGAAGGTAGAGGATTCCATATGCCCCATGGGATAATTTGAGTTGATAGGAAGCTGGGGGCTGGAATGGGTTGGGACAAAAGGTAGAGCTCCTAGATGCTGTAAAGTCCAGATTTGTTTCAGCATTCAAAACCTGGCAGGAACCTCTCCAACTTCATCCCTGGTCCCCATGGAAACCTGTGTTCTCCGGGAACATGTCACTTCTTACTTTCCCCCTCCTTCAATGCCACTTCCTCTTTGAAGTCTCCCTCCTGCTTCAGTCAGTTAGGTGCTCCTTCCTCAGCTTCCTCAGCACCCTTGATCATTTCTTAGGGCACATCACAGCATGTCCCTCCACTATTGTGGTTGCTGGAGATTCAACACCCCCACACACCCGTCAATGCACCACTAAGGCATGGCATCTCTCAGCCCTATCTCAGCCCCTGCTCCCCATTAGGTTTTCAGGAAGCACACTCAATGGGGTTCCTTAAGGGTGGCAGAGCAAGTGAAAGGTGCTATTGGGATTCCTTCCCCTGCTTGTGGTCTCATCCTCAGGTAGAGCATCACCTGCAAGTGGAGGAGGTGCGACTTCGACCAGCAGTTGGGCGGGGCAGGCGACCCCTGCCCGTAACTGAGGGACTGGTCGAAGTCAGGCTTCCGGACGGCTGGTCTAAAGTGTGTGACAAAGGCTGGAGCGCCCACAACAGCCACGTGGTCTGCGGGATGCTGGGCTTCCCCAGCGAAAAGAGAGTCAACACGGCTTTCTACAGGTGAAGGGATGTGGGCGCTGATGGAGCAGACTTGGGCGGAGGAGTGCTCCTTAAAGAATGGGGTTGAGAAACCTCTGAGAGGGTTCAGGCACTGGGGGACCGGGGAAGCTGGGAGAGTGGGCAAAGGGGAGGCCTTTGCGAGGCTGGAGAGGTGCGAAATATTGAGGGAGCGTGGAGGGCTCCCCCAGGCGGGTCTGCAGGGGGACCGTGAGGCTCCTGCTCTCTGGTGTCCGAAGCCAGGGGCGAGGCGAGTGGCGGGTGGCGCGCCAGTGCGGTGACGCCAGTGGTTGGCAGGCAGAGTCCGGGTCCCCGGGCGCGCGCCCGGCCTCGAGACCACGCCCAGCAGTGGCGGTCCCGCGGGGGGTTCAAGTCACCGCGCCGGCGCGGCCAGGATCCCGGCCTGAGTTCACAGAGGGTGAGGACGCGCCCGGCCGAGGCGGCGCCTGGGGTGTGCTGCGGCAGGCTGGGCGGCCGGGGTCTGAGGACCGCCGTCACAGGCCCGGCGCCGCCGCGGGGCAGCGCGTCCCCGCCCCAGGGCCAATCCCTGAGGGCCGGAGGGGAGCACGGCCTGGCCTGCGTTCAGGCCACCCCCGGGGCGCGTCTGTGAGCGCGCGAGCCCCTAGGACTCCTAGGAATGTTTTCTAGAATATCCTTCGTCAGAGCCACCTGGTCCTCTCCACCTGCCGGGGACTCTGGTGCACAAGCCATCTTCCAGAATAACAAATCACACTGGTGCCTGGCTCTGGGCTTACAGCGTCTCGCTTCACTAGAGAGTCTCATTTGGTCATTTTGAGAAATTTGGAAATCTTGAGTCTCTCTGTGATCTATTTTTGCAGGCTAAAATGCTCCTTTTCTTCAGCTTTTCTTTAGATCAGTTTTGCCAAAAGACCTCTTGACATCTAGGTGACCTTCCAGTGGGCACACTACTTCCCACGTGGTGTGACATGATCTGATCAGAGGAGGGGACAGTAGAAATGCTCAACTTTGATTAAAGCATGCCTAGACTTTGCATTGCCTTTCTGTTGAGGCAGCATCCCACTGCTCAGACTAAACTTGTAATCACCTAAAACCAGTTCAGGTCTTCCCTTATCCTTGATGCTAATAGAGCAGCCTGTTTGAACCTAAATCTATGTTGAGTTTACCCTATTAGTTTGTTATATCATTTTAAAAACATTTAAAAAGTCATGATAATCCCATGAAATTATCTTGAATCTTGACATTATTCTCCATGTGTCATCCCTCCCTACTTCCTCTGGTAGACAAACATGATAGCTATGCCTTCTGGCTTCATCAGAGTAACTGAAAATTGTTGAAATGTTTAAAACCAAAGCCTGACTCTTCTTATGAAAGTTTCCTCCAGGTTTACATCAAGACTTTAATCATTAGTTGTGAAATGATTTTTCAGCCAATTGGGAACAAACTGAACACTACAATGATGTAACATTTCACCATCTTACCTATAATGAAATTACTGGGGATTTTGTTAGTCTTTGCTAAAATCCAAATACACTATATTCACATCCATTCTCCAGCCTTATGATTTAGTAATCATTCAAAAAGAAAATCATGGTGGTTTGGCGGACCCAATTTTTACTGAAAGCCTTTTGGGTCTCTAATTTTTTCTCAGTGTACACAAACTTTGTATTTCATAACTTACTCTAGAATATTATTTATCTGTAGATTGAGGAATCCTTCTTCTTCTTTTTGAAAGTCAATACATTATCCAACCTCCAGTCTTTTCCATTCTTGCTCAAATTTTCCTTGCCTGGGCTCTGAGACACATCTGAAAGTCATTTCATTCCCAAGAAATACACTTTATCTGCTTTAGAGTCACAACTGTTTTTAAAACATCTATGTGCTGTGCTCCTCTACTATTATTAACTATCTTGGGGCTATATTTCTCTCTGTTTGTTTGTTCTTTATCTTTCCTAACCTAAACACCAGGTTCTGGAACTTGAGTATGAGTTAAATAACAGGCATTTCAAGTGAAGAGGATAGCATGAACAAAGGTGTAGAGATTGTTTCTTTCATTATTTCTTTATTGAGTGCCTATTGTGTGCCAGAGGCTGTTGTAGACTCTAGGGATTCAACAGTGAACAAAACAGACAAAAATCCTGATCTCATGGACTAGGAAAGAATCAGATATAAGTAAAATTACAAAATGTAAGAATGGCAAATAGTATAATCATTAAAAATAGAGCAGGGATCCCTGGCCAGTTTGACTCAGCGGTTAGAGAATCGGTCCATGGACCAAAAAGTCTCAGGTTCAATTCCGGTCAAAGGCATGTACCTCGATTGCGGTTTGGTCCCCAGCCCCAGATGGGGTTGTGCAGGAGGCATCCAGTCGATGTGTCTCTCTCACAGAACTCTCTCTCTCTCTTTCTCTCCCCCGACCCCCACTCTGAAGATAAATGGAAAAATACCATCGGGTTAGGATACAAATAAATAAATTTAAAAAATAGAGCAGGGAAAGGATTAGAAAGTGGTAGTAGGATTGCAGTTTTTTGTTAATCCTCACCAAGGATATTTTTTCATTGGTTTTTAAATTGAATTGTGGGGGGTATTGATGTGAGAGTGACACATTGATTGGTTGCCTTCCGCACAACCCCTACTAGGGCTAGATATCAAACCTGCAACCCAAGTACACGCCCTTGACTGAGAATCGAACCTGCAACCCTTTGGTCCACAGGCTGATGCTCTAACCACTGAGCAAACTGGCCAGGGTGGGATGGCAGTTTTAAATAGTGGTCAGCAAAGACCTCTTTGAAGGCATCATTTGAGAAACGATTTAAAGGAGGTGAGGGCACAAGCTATGCAGAAATCCAGACCAGCATTTTCAGGAACAGGGATCATAAATGAAAAAATCCTGGGAGTGTATATTGGGGTAGGGAGAATGCTTGTCATGGTCCTAATTCACTAGCCTCGGGCCTGGAAATGCCAGAAGCCAGAGAACATCCAAGAATAAAAAGACAGCCCACCTCTCTAGACCTGACCAGACCAGTTCTCTCTCCTCTCCTGGTCAGTCTGAAAAGCCTAACAATCCCAACACCATTCTACTTGCACCCTTTTCCTTAGCCCTCCCCTCAGGTTTAGATCAGCTTTAATATTGATCCAGAGTTTTGGGGGTTTTTTTAAGTTTTTTTTTTCTTTATTGAGCTTTTTTAGAGAGAGAGGAAGGGAGATGGAGAGAGATATAGAAACATGGATGAGAGAGAGCATAGATTCCCTCCCACTGGGAATCAGGCACTCACAACCTGGGCATGTACCCTGAAAGGGAAAGGAACCTGTGACCTCTTGGTGCATGGGTCAACGCTCAACCACTGAGCCACACTGGACGGGCCTTTTTTTTGGATCCAGGGTTCTTATCCCCCATCTGCCTTAGCCTAATTTCTGTGGGTCCTGGTATAGGGGCTCTATCAGTCCTGAGTCCATATCCTTCACTGCTGCTCACCTGTCTGATCATGTGCTTATGAGGCCAAGCAGCTGTGAAGGTAGAGCCTTGGGAGTATCTGATGTTATAACATCCTGCCACCAAGAACCCTTTGATTCTTGGAAAAGAAACCTGTCCCAGCTGCACCAGCCTCTCCTACTTGGTTCTAGCCTGATCCTGACTCTGCTATTGTCTTATCCTCACAGAAAGTTGAGGAAGCGAATGGCCAAAGCCTCGGCCCGACGGCCCAAGCCCCTTGGAAGGTAATGGGGCAAGAGCCCCGGGACCTCCTGCGCCTCTGTGGCCCCAGGAGGTGGATGGATGGAAGGCAGCCTATCCATGTCCATCCCCAAACCCAAGCTGATCAATTAAGGATATGACTGGAAAATGGCCTATGTGGGGGAAGGGAGGGCGGCAGGCACCAAAATGGCCAAGCTTTGATCTTAGGAAGCACAAGGAGGAGTAATGTAGTAATGGCTGAGGAAAAGCCTTATATTTCCCCAAAATAGCTTGGATTCAAGCCTGAGCCACCTGCATGCTTCCCCACCCCCACCCCCAACTCCTTTCTTCACCTCCCTTAATTCACCCACATTTCCATTCTCTCTCCTACCTTAACTTGCCTCTTATCTCCTCCCCTCACCCCCCTAGACAGGCATAATTAGATTTCTCATTACTGTTGCTCAGTCCAGAGAGCAGCATGAGATCCTAAAATACAGTTTGGTGGTAGGCAGTGGTCAGTGTATATGGCAGACTGGGCCACCTTCACTTTACCCCTTCCCACACTGGGGTCCTCCCCAGAAACAGAAAAAAATCACCCTCTGCCTTTCCTGGGCCACATACCTAACCACTACTTCCACTAACTTATTTCTCATTTTTTCAGACCAATCACCAAGCGTAAAGTCAAACCCAAACCCCGAGTGGGCAGGGGGCCAATCAAGAGGTAAATAAAGTTCAGGCTGGGTGGACAGGAGAGGGAGCGCCTAGTGATGAGCCCTAGGATTGGGCTGTGGTCAGGAAGGGATCCAAGAGAACCCTCCACCAAGAGGAGGAGGAGCAGCAGCAGCTATTACAGACCCCCTTACAGATGAGTCACTGAAGCATAAAGTAAGGCTTGCCCTTTTGTTGGTCTCTGGGGAATTAATTATGCTTGTCATGGGATTTTTTGACATTTCTATAGGCGTTCATCCACTGACTACCCTTGTTCTACATGCTCATTTATCCCCCCAGAGAATTCTAGTAGAAACTCTGGCACTTTTGTCCCTCAGATGCCATGCTTGCCTCTCCCCTAAGAAGCTGTCTGAAGGATCAGTGTCCCCATCCTACCTTTATTTTATTACTTTTTACAAATAAGTGCTACTGGCCTGGAGGTAAGACTCAGTGTCCCCTCTGGAAACTTTGCTAAGGATGGGATCCTCTCTGGCCCCATTGACACAAGTAGGCTCCCAGTTCTATAATTTTTCCTTCTGGGTTTCTTCAAAGACAACACAAGGGAGTGGAAAATTTCCAACTTGTGATTACATCTCACTAGGCTTCCAAAGGTTATTTACATATGCAGTCTCCCTGATAACTTATTCAGCAGTGGCTGAGGTACAGAGAATCATCCCTTTCTGTTGTACCCTCCTCTCTTCAGTGTGTTCTGAGATCATCCACTGGTCTCCTAGTACCCCTCATTCTCCAGCTCCTCCCTCCGGTGGCTTCAAAGGAATTTGAAGGGTGGAATTTGGGGGTGTTCTTTTAGTACCTTTTAGCTTAGGTCATCTTTGCCTAGCATGGCTATACACTGGCCTTCCCTGACCCGCACATTGAAGTTCACACTGCCATTTTTACTTTGTTAGTTGTGGGGAAAGGGGAGGGGGGACTTCAGAAGAGATATGTCTTTTTCCTGTTATGGCCTCTTTGACTTTTAAGTCAAACAGGACTTTGGGAGAGTACTTGATCTCTTTAAGCTTCAGAATCCACTTATCCTGAGCTTCCCAAGGTATTCTGCCAAGTTTTCAGACTTCCTTTGTCTGCTGTTATTTATAAATGTTTCTTCCTCTGTGTCTTCCTAGCCAATGTCATCAAGTCGTCATGTTCCTTCCTTCCTCTGACATCAAGTGATGAGGCACATTACTACAATAATTTACTGTCAAACCAGCCTCACAGGCCCACTCCACCAATACCAGGCCTCAGCTGGTTCCCTTCCCCTCTGGGCTCGAACCAGCTGTTCTGGGAAGAAAGTACTGCTCTCGTCACATGCCTGGCTGCAATCTCTCATTCCACTGATGTCAATAAACAAGTCCCTCGTTCTCTCAAGCATCTCTCCTTAGTGATTCCAAATTTTAACATCTCTAGTTTAGTCCCATTTTCCTTCTCTGGTGGCTATGGAACATTCTTTCTGTTAGGTTTACATTGCAGAAGTACAGACTGCCTCATTAAGGACTCACAGCTCGGCTCAGATCTGGGGACATCTTTACCATTGTTGTTCATATTTGCTCTCCTTCTCTGGCCATTGGTCCCTCTAGCTTTTGTCTGCCTTGCATTTATACATTATCATTCCTACATATGCCAGCCGCAGTCTTTCATGTGTTCACCATCTGGTCTGTTCTTCCCGTAACTGCCCGTCATACTGTGGCCCTGCAGAGCCTCTGGCCTAAAAGTCCCTCTGGCCTCTACAGAGTCATTTAGACCCAAGACTTACGTTTGCATCCTGACTCATTCAGTTATTCCAGTCTCAGCACAATAGAAGGATCTGCTCACTCTGGCTATTCAGGCTTCCTGTTCATGTTGGCCACCCCTCCTGCCCATTTCTTCCCACTGGGCAGTCCTAGCTTTCCATTCTCTTTGCACAGCAGCCTCAGCCTCCGTTAGGGTAAGCAGCCTGAAACCATTTGGAACAAGGTTTCTGTCGGAAGTCAAGACTACCTTCCCATAGGGTTCTTCTGCTGCAGAAGATCCTCAAAGACCCTGCTGTCTGGGTAACCTAGGCTCTTTCAGCCTGGAAACTCACCATTCCCTTTGTCTCTCTGGAGGGCAGCATGGCAGAGGGGAAGAAGAGAGATAAAGTGGTCATAAAAAGTTAGGGGATGGTGGTGGCATGGAACGGGAGGAGGGTTGTGAGCAAAGAGGCAAAAGCATTGTTTTACCCTATTGCTCCACTCCTGTCCCCACAGGCTGCTGGCCCAGCGACAACAACACTCCTTTGGTCTGCATGGGGTGGTGTGCGTGGGTACGGAGGCCCACCTCTCCCTCTGCTCCTTGGAGTTCTATCGAACCAATGATACCACCAGGTGCCCTGGGGGTGCCCCTGCGGTGGTGAGCTGTGTGCCAGGTCCTCTCTATGCAGCATCCAGTGGCCAGAAGAAGCAACAACAGTCAAAACTTCAGGAGGAAGTATGAGACAGTGACTATGACCTTTCCTGCCCCAGGTGGAGAATCTCCCTAGCCTAGCCTAGCCTCTAGCCACCCATGACTAAGTACATCCCTGACCTTTAAGGACAGAGAGGGACTTTCCAGGGGGTAGGCCACAGACCTGAGGCCACTAGTGCCCCCCCCACCCTGCCGCATCTCCTCCACCATTCATCTCCAGGTCTGCTCAGCCCTCTCTGTGCTGATGTTCCCATTCATTGCCAATGGATCGTCTCTTTTCTCTATAGGCCAGAGTGCGTCTCAAGGGTGGGGCCCATCCTGGAGAGGGCCGGGTGGAAGTCCTGAAGGCTGGCACATGGGGCACAGTCTGTGACCGAAAGTGGGACCTACAGGCAGCCAGCGTGGTGTGTCGGGAGCTGGGCTTCGGGAGTGCTCGAGAGGCTCTGAGTGGTGCCCGCATGGGGCAGGGTGAGGGGGATGACGGTGGGAGGGATGGGGAAGGAAGAGGTACACACTCTTGGAAGAGTACAATCTTGGGAAAGACTATACACCCTCCTGTGGAGGTACAATCCTTGGGAAGGAGACCACTGGGCAGACAATGAAGGCCCAGTTACAACCTCCTGATCTCTGGCCTTTGACCCTAGGTATGGGTGCCATCCACTTGAGTGAAGTTCGATGCTCTGGACAGGAACCCTCCCTCTGGAAGTGTCCCCACAAGAACATCACAGCTGAGGACTGTTCTCATGGCCAGGATGCTGGAGTCCGATGCAACCTGCCCTACACTGGGGTAGAGACCAGGGTGAGTCATACTTTCTACCTTGGCTCAGGTGTCTCACATCCTGTCTAGTCCTGGTTAAGCTCTGAAGTGTGATGGCCCCCAGAGCACTGCCCTAGGCCTCTGCAATCCTGCAACTCCCACCTGACACCGCACTGCTTGCCCATTATGTGCCTCTGAATCACCCTTCAGCCACATGCCTGCCCGTCATACTGCAGACTCTCACTACCCCACCACAGAGGCTTCCCTAGCTCTCTCATTCTGTCACTACAGATCCGACTCAGTGGGGGCCGCAGCCGACATGAAGGGCGAGTTGAGGTGCAAATTGGGGGACCTGGGCCCCTTCGCTGGGGCCTCATCTGTGGGGATGACTGGGGGACACTGGAGGCCATGGTGGCCTGTAGGCAACTCGGACTAGGCTATGCCAACCATGGCCTGCAGGTGAGTGGGAAGGAGAGAGGAACCAAAGCTGCTGCCTCCAAAGCCTGTGTTTGGGGTAGAGGTTGTGGAAATTAGTCCTTTAGCCCAGGAGGCTGGACGATGGGGCCTCACAGAAATTCCTACATATGTCCCCAGGAGACCTGGTACTGGGATTCAGGGAATATAACAGAGGTGGTGATGAGTGGAGTACGCTGCACAGGGACCGAGCTGTCCCTGGACCAGTGTGCTCATCACGGCACCCACATTGCTTGCAAGAGGACAGAAACCCGTTTCACTGCTGGAGTCATATGCTCTGAAAGTAAGTGGAAAGCCAGCCAGAGAAAGGAGGTTCTTTCTGGGCCTCCCCTTTCTGAGAGAGGGCTGTTATTTGGGGTACTCCCTCCCTGTGGAAAAACAGCCTCACATATTTCATGGGGGGAGGGGCAAGTAAAAGCATCCCTATCTGTCCCCACCCTTCAGCAGTGACTTCTGACACTCCCTCTCTTCCTGGATGCAGCTGCATCAGATCTGCTGCTGCACTCAGCACTGGTGCAGGAGACTGCCTACATCGAGGACCGGCCCCTACACATGCTGTACTGTGCTGCAGAGGAGAACTGCCTGTCCCACTCAGCCCGCTCAGCCAACTGGCCTTATGGCCACCGCCGTCTACTCCGATTCTCCTCCCAGATTCATAACCTGGGACGAGCTGACTTCAGGCCCAAGGCTGGGCGCCACTCTTGGGTGTGGCATGAGTGTCATGGGTGAGAGGGTCAAGTAGAAGGGCAAGGTCAATGGGGGATAGGGTGAGCCTGCTGGGAACAGGGAAGGAAATGGGTTCCCTTGTCTCTTGTCCCCACAGGCATTACCACAGTATGGACATCTTCACTCACTACGATATCCTGACCCCCAATGGCACCAAGGTGGCTGAGGGCCACAAAGCTAGTTTCTGTCTAGAAGATACTGAGTGTCAGGAGGGTGAGTTGGGGCTTAGAATGGATACAATATCTCCATCCCACAATCCTGCCTCACACTGATGCGTGTCATGCCAATCCCTTCAGATGTCTCCAAGAGGTATGAGTGTGCCAACTTTGGAGAGCAGGGCATCACTGTGGGTTGCTGGGATCTCTACCGACATGACATTGACTGTCAGTGGATTGACATCACAGATGTGAAGCCAGGAAACTACATTCTGCAGGTGCCTGAGGTCTGAGATTTCCAGCTGGCAAGTGGGAGGTGTGTTATCCAACACTTTTGAATTATGTTGCCTCTCTGTCACTCACAGGTGGTCATCAACCCCAATTTTGAAGTAGCAGAGAGTGACTTCACCAACAACGCAATGAAATGTAACTGCAAATATGACGGGCATCGCATCTGGGTGCACAACTGCCACATTGGTATTTGGTGGGAAAAGCAGGCCAGGAAGACTAGGGGATGGGAGGGAAAGGCTTTCATTCTCTTCTCCCTAAGTTTCTGTCTTCCCACCCACTTCTGGGTCTCCCAGACACTTCCATCCACCCTTCCTCACAATGGGTCTGTTTTCCTGCTCAAACGGCCCATTCACCTTACAGGTGATGCCTTCAGTGAAGAGGCCAATAAGAGGTTTGAGCGCTACCCTGGCCAAACCAGCAACCAGATCATCTAAGGTGCTAATACACACCTCTTCAAATCACCACTGGCCCCTAATGGCAGGGGTCTGAGGCTGCCATTACCTCAGGAGTTTACCAAGCAAGGAACCCCTGATGTCAGCAGGCCCACCACATTGATCCAATGTGCACTATGGATGTGGAACTGTCAAGCAGAAGTTATCACCCTCCTTCCTAAGCCAGCTGTCCAGATCTGTGGCCAAGCATGGGAAATCATGGCTCCCAGGACCAGCACTGAACTGAGTTCACCACAAAGAGCAGCACCTGATTAACTGGCCAGAAAAACAGACAGCAGCAGCTCGTTTTCTTGAATAGGGAGGTCAGGATGGTCAGGTCCAATACATCCCCTCAGATCAGGGGGAATACAGCTTTACCTCTAGCCTTTTTATGGGGGAAAAGATCAGCGCCACCTCCCCCCCTCATTTTTTTTTTTTTTACTATAACATGTTGCTAGGTATAATTTTATTTTATATAAAAAATGTTTTTGTGATTCTTCAGAGCACAGGGATTGGTGCTGATGGTTGGAGGGACCTGCCCCCGACTGGTTCATTTAATCCTCTGTCCAGGTACCCTCAGAGCCTACGCCAGGAGAGCAAGGTAGAAATCAGAGCAGGAGCCTCATACTCTTATTGATCCACTCATTCTGTGACTTCAGGGGTCACGTATAAAGTCAGTGTTTCCCGTCCCCGCCGGATCTTCACTGCCAGCTGGGATTGGGTTCGAACAGCTTCATAAACATCTTCAGCATTTTGTACCAGCTGCTCCCCAATGGCCAAGATCACATCCCCTGGCCGCAGACCAGCGCTATGGCAAAAGATGGACAGAGAAAAGGAGTAGATAGCCCAGTTCAAGGGCATATGCACACCTCACCCATCCCCCACCTAACAGTGCAATCTCGCTCTCCCTCACCGGTGTGCAGGGGAGTCCAGGATGACTTTATGGATGAGCACACCATGCTGAACATCAGGAAAGCTTGGTTCTCGAAGCTGTAGTTCAGCAAGGATGCTGAAAGGACACAGACCACCCTGTTAACCACACCAAGGAGCTCTCCCCATTTTGGGTTCACCTTAAAACTCTCACCACACTGACAACAGTATGGACAGGGAATGCACTAGGTATTCCAGATACAAAGGCAATTTACTTTCTGCCTTGTAGTAGTTAGGAAGTGGGACATGTATAGAAAAGGTACCTAATTCCACATAACACATAAGGTTAAATCAATAGCAATAATCTCATTCTAGAATCCTAAGAAAAGCTTTAAGGAGAGAGTAGAATTTAAACTGAACTTAGAAGAATGGGCCTAATATTAAAGTATTTAAAACAGGAACAACATAAATAAAAACCTGGAGTAGGAAATCAGGTTGGCTGGAACAGAATATATTCATGTAGGAAGCCAGGTCTGGAAAATGGAAAATGCCCCCTAAACACCAGGTTAATAGATTATAAATCAAAGCAGTAGTGGGATTAAATCAATCTGGTGGTAGTTGGGCAAAATGAAGTGGGGTGAGAAAGTCAAGAGAATTAGAGAAGACAGCTCTTCTGATATTTCCAAGTGTGAGGCAATTCACCATAGATAAAGACAGAATTGAGAACAAAGTTCAACAGAAATGTCATTTGCCCACCAATGGGTAAACTGGTGGTCCTACAATATAACTACCCCTAAAGCTCATACCTGGGAGTCAGGGTCAACATCATCACCCCAATGTAGCGGCGCTGGGACCCACTGATTCCAAACCAGGAATCTGTGATAGAGAGACAAGTGAGCCCCACCCAGCTACATCCTTCCTTCCCTTCTCTCTCCTCCCAAGAGACCCTTCAACAAGGCCCAATGAATGCCCCTCCCACCACTTAAAGGAACCCTTTCCCCCTCTAAGCCAGGCTCACTCTTCTTTTCCCCACGACGCAGAAACTCTCGAAGGCGATCAGAAGGGATGGCAAAGGAGATTCCAGCTGTAACCTTCATGGTATTCACTCCAATCACCTCCCCATCCTGCAGGAACAGAGCCCACTATTCCCCAGCCCAAACAAATAGTGGGAGATGGGGGTACCTGAACAAGAATAGCAGGAAGTGCTGGGGAATTGGGAAGATCTGGTTGGATTCTGAGAGACAGCTAACAAGGGATTGTTCAGAAACTTGACCAAACCTCATTGAATTAGGGAAAAACCCACCCCTTCCCACACTGACCTGGGGCAGGGATTCTTGGAAAGAAGGATGTCCCACTCACCAGATTAACCAGGGGACCTCCAGAATTTCCAAACTGCAGGACAAGGAGAAAATATGGAAAAGATCCAGGGACTCTATGCCTGGGGGCATACCAGGATGTAGGCATTTTTTCCAAATTCTCTACTTTCACAGCCCATGAATGAGTAGCCACATTTTTTAGCACAACCTCAATACACAGGGGTGGGCAAAAGTAGCTTTGCAGTTGTAATACAAATAAATAACACAATAATGAATAAATAATAATACAAGAATAAATTTTTGTGTTCCGTGTACTCACAACTGTAAACCTACTTTTGCCAACCCCTGTATAGGCTCATTCACCATCTATCCCACTCGGTGCCTGCACCACACACCCTCTCCCCTTCCCCAACCTATATTGTCCTTTCTCCCTTATCAGTACGCACATCAATAGCTGCATCAGTCTGGATGTATTCTACATTGGTTTGAGGGAGGCCTAGATCTCTGGCTGGACGTTGAGCAGAGCTGACGATTCCAGATGTGATCGTGTTCTGCAGAGCAAAGGGACTTCCCATGGCAACAACAAACTCCCCTTGCCTGACATCAGCTGAGCGCCCCAGGGCCAGTGTGGGGAGAGGTTCCTAAAGCAGAATGGGCACAGGGGACCTGTCATCTGGAGATGTGAGCAAATTCACAGCTGCAACCAGACCCGGCTTGCCCGGACCCCGACCTTGGCCTGAATCCTCAGCGTAGCGATGTCTGCCACGGGATCCACAGCTGTGACCATGGCCTCATACGTGTCACCGCTAGGCAGTCTCACACGAACTCGGCGCCGATCAGCCACCACATGGGCGTTGGTAACGATGAGCCCGTCTGCAGCCACCACGAATCCTGAGCCATTCGAGATAGGGACTTCGCGGCCCGAAAAGGGGTGCCTGGAATGGGGGGAAAGCAGAGATGTGAGGAGGTCGGACTCCTCCTGCTCGCCTGTTCTCTGGCCCGCGACTTTGATGCCTCCTGGTCTACCCCTCCGTTACCGGCCCAGGATCTCGATATAAACCACCGCAGGTGCGGTCTTCTCCACCACGTCTGCGATGAAGTTGTACTGGCTCCGGGGAGAGGTGGGCGGCGAGCCGAGGACAGAGGCAAGGACGGCCGGGGGACCCCGACCTCCGCCCCACAACAGCAGCAGCACTGCCCCCCCAGCGCCCAGTGCCACCGCCAGCCACACGCGTAGACGGGTTGCAGGGGTTCCTGAGTCCTCCTGGGTCTGAGAATCTGGGGTCCCCGCAGTCAGCCGTGATCGGGAATCCGAAGTCCCCGACGTCAGACATGTTCGTGGTCCAGGGACCCCCACAGAGAACCGGGTATGGAGACTGGGAGTCCCAGAAGTCACTCGGGCCCGAGGGTCAGGAGTTCCCGACGTCAGCAGGGCCCGGAGATCACGGGTCAACAAGGGTGCTTTCCCCCAGCAAGCTCCCCCCAAAGCCCGCCATCCCAGAAGGTTCCAGCCTGCATGCCGCCCCGCCCTCAGTGCAGCCATCAGCTCCGCCTCGGCTGCCTCCCCGCCCGCCCTACACAGAGGAGGCGCCCTGGACGTGAGCAGGTGGACGGGACGCGGGGCACGCCGGTACCTGAAGTCCTCCAGAAGTGCGAGCCGGGACCAGGATTCCGGAAGGCCGACTCCGCCCCCGCCCTGCGAATGCCGGGAATTGTGGTCCCCGCGGGACGCGAGCTCTGGGGCGGCCCAAGGGCCCGCGAGGCATGCTGGGGCTGCTAACTCTTCCGGAGCGCCTCTGGATTTCGGGTCCTGGCACCTGGGCCTACCCGCGGAGACTCCGCCTTCCCAGGAGCCCCTGCGGTGGGCCGCGAAGATGGCGGCGACGGCGACGGCCGGACACCCCTAAAGTAACCGCGATGGAGCCTCCCCAGGCGCCGGGGCCGGAGCGGCTCTTTGACTCGCACCGGTAAGAGCTCCGGCGGGGAGAGGCCGGCTCCCGCATCCACTCGGCCTTCGGCGCCCGATCATCCCGACTCTCGCCCCCAGGCTCCCGGGTGACGGCTTCCTGCTCCTCGCGCTGCTGCTCTACGCCCCCGTCGGGTTCTGCCTTCTGGTCCTGCGCCTCTTTCTTGGGATCCACGTCTTCCTAGTCAGCTGTGCGCTGCCAGACAGCGTCCTTCGCAGGTTCCGACCCGGGCGCTCGGGGAGGGTCAGGGCTGGGCTCAGCTTGGCCCGCGGCGGTGCAGTCACTACTGCCTGCGTCCCCAGGTTCGTGGTGCGGACCATGTGTGCAGTTCTGGGGCTCGTGGCCCGGCAGGAGGACCCCGGGCTCCGGGATCACCGCGTCAGGGTCCTCATTTCCAACCACGTGACACCTTTCGACCACAACATAGTCAACCTGCTCACCAGTTGTAGCACCGTGAGTGGGGGCGAAGCCGAGAGTGCCATGGGCAGTTCCCTGGGGCCCAGCCCAAGGCTACCCTATGCACCGCCCCCCGATTTTCCCTTGGAGACCACAAGATACTGAGCCTCACCCCTAACCACGTTTCTGTATCCCATATGTCACTTGTATCACTTCCCAACATTCTTTTCTTTTTGCTTTCTCCCTTCCCTGTTCCCAGCCTTTACTCAATAGTCCTCCCAGCTTTGTGTGCTGGTCTCGGGGCTTCATGGAGATGGATGGGCGGGGGGAGTTGGTGGAATCGCTCAAGAGATTCTGTGCTTCCACGAGACTTCCCCCAACCCCTCTGCTGCTGTTCCCCGAGGAAGAGGCCACCAATGGCCGGGAGGGGCTCCTGCACTTCAGGTGGGTGAGCACAGGTATTGGTCTCCAAATGCCTAGGTAGTCAGGCGTGGGGGCCCTTAGGTTTTCACAACCTTATTCAGCCTTAACTCCTCCATTCCTAGTTAATTTCCTTTCTGTCCACTTTTGGTTCTTTCCCCCGAATCTCTTTATTCCCCGTTTGTGTTCTTGGGCAGTTTGACAGTTTCCTGTTTTAAGTCAGGTATGAGCTGTTGACTGGGCTGGCTGGAATCCCATTCTACTCTCTCTTCCTTCTTCTAGTTCTTGGCCATTTTCTATCCAAGATGTGGTACAGCCTCTTACCCTTCGAGTCCAGAGACCCCTAGTCTCTGTGGTGAGTGCATGTTGGACAGGGAATCTTTGGGACTTGGGGGAAAGTTTCCCACTCCTGGCCCTGACTTAGATCTCACTTCATACCTTTCTCTCAGACGGTATCAGATGCTTCCTGGGTCTCAGAACTGCTGTGGTCACTTTTCGTCCCTTTCACGGTGTATCAAGTAAGGTATTAACTGTCCTCACTTTTTGGTGGCTGGGAAAAGCTCACCTCAAGCTCAAGAAAGTAGTTGTCTCTGCCTTGCCCACTTGCAGATCTTTTAATATTAAGATTCCACCACAGAGGCAATACAAAGTATTTACTTTCTCCCCATCCTTACCCCCACTGTCCTATGAAAAGAGGTATCAAAGTAGGGAAATGGTGACAGCCTCTACCCCTGGTGCCTCCAACATGGCACTGAATTGTTTTTGCAGGTGGCTCCGTCCTGTTCATCGCCAGCTGGGGGAGGGGAATGAGGACTTTGCCCTTCGTGTACAACAGGTGGTAGGGTACACAGGCAGGGTGGAGGTGGGTCTCTCCTTAGGCAGAAAGGGAGGAGGGTTTGAGACCTTGACATTCCCAATCTTCCAATTCTCCTTAGCTGGTGGCCAAAGAATTGGGCCAGACAGGGACACGACTCACTCCCTCAGACAAAGCAGAGCACATGAAGCGACAAAGACACCCAAGATTGCACCCCCAGTCAGGTGTGTAGTCTCTGTACACAAAGCTTTCTGGGTTTTTTCCAGCCTATTGTGATGTCCTCCCTATTCCTGTGCTAGTCAGCGTCTCCTTCCTGCTCATTCTGCACTCACCATATTCAATTTCTTTTTTGTAGCCCAGTCTACTTTTCCTCCCTCTCCGGGCCCTTCTCCTGATGTGCAGCTGGCGACTCTGGCTCAGAGAGTCAAGGAAGTTTTACCCCATGTGCCATTGCGTGTCATCCAGAGAGACCTGGGTATGGGAAAGGATAGCTTCACACAGGAAGACAGGCCCAGAGAGGAAAAGTGGGTGGTAATGGGAAAAGGTGAGCAGGGAAACAGATCCTTCCCCCTCTCTTCCCTTCTCCCCAGCCAGGACTGGATGTGTAGACTTGACCATTACCAATCTACTTGAGGGAGCTGTAGCTTTCATACCTGAAGACATCACTGAGGGGACCCAGTCCCTTCCCACAGCCTCTGCCTCCAAGGTGAGACCCAGGAAACAGTCAGATTCAAGACTTGGGGTAGGATGGGGCAGTCTACATACTCCCTATCCCTGATGTCTCTTTTTTGATCCTGAGACCCTAGCACAGTGCCTCTCTTGCAAAGTAGGCATTCGATGCAGGTTTAATGATGATGACTTCGCAAGCCTTCTGACATTGTGATCACCTCAGTTCCCCAGCTCTGGCCCGGTGACCCCTCAGCCCACAGCCCTAACATTTGCCAAGTCCTCCTGGGCCCGTCAAGAAAGCCTACAGGAGCGCAAGCAAGCATTGTATGAATATGCGAGAAGGTGAGGGGCTTAGAGAGCAATGGGTAGGAAGGGGTAGGCTGAAGAAGAGAGCTGATTATGGAGCTGATATGGCAAAACCCACACAATGTCTTCTCCCTGTGTCCTACAGGAGATTCACAGAGAGACAGGCCCAGGAGGCTGACTGAGCACAGGATGGCACCCAGAGCCGCAGGACGGAGACTGGGGGCAGCCCTCACCCAACTCACAACAGGCCGGATGGGTGGGTGGAAGAAAGGGAGAGATGGGGCTCCCCCCAATATCACATTAAATTCAGGGTTTTCACTCAAGGTCTCTGTTGCCTCTCTGGGTCTAAAAAGCCCCCTGAACTGGTTCCCTTTCTCTCAGTTGGGAGGAATGGGGATGAGGTCCTCCTTGTAGGTTTGTGAGGGGAAGTCAAAATGGAACTCTGAAATCACTTCCTCATGTCAAGAGATGAAGACCCAACAACAACTGGACATAGCTGGGGTGTTCAACCCAGGTTTGTGAAGAAACAACTGCAAAACTACAAGTCCCAGGATGCTTTTCACAGTACATGGTGTCTATAGAGTTCATACATGCTCAGTGTGGCCACTAAAGCCTGCCTTCCTAGGCTGACTAGGTTAAGTAAGGTGGAGCAAATGGCTCCACCCCAAAAGCAGTCTTTAGAACTGTGAGCCAAGCCCCAGGGTGGAACCGGAACTTACCTTTGTACTTCATGCTGGTCAAGGTTGGTGGTAACTGGCTGAGTGGTTGTGGAACTGGCTGCCATCCTGACACGTCTCAGAGCTTCAAGCAGGTTTGAATCCAGAATCCTTGTGGCCCTATTCCCCTCTTATTCTTTATCCTTTTCCCTTGGGGTTTTTCCCACAAGTCTCATATAATTGCTGCTGCCCCTGAGAACCCCTGTGTTAGTCACAGGATTTTTACTACCTGACTAGAGGGTAATAATCCACTTTTTATAAATCCTGGGAGACTCAAGTCTCCACTATTTCGTGGCAGCAAGAAGTGCTGGGAAGGCCCTGGCCAGGTGGCTCAGTTGGCTGAAGTATCACCCCATACACTAAAAGGTTGTGGGTTTGATTCCCCCATCCCCGTCAGGGCGCATATGGAGGCCACTGTTTGATGTTTCTCTCACATCAATGTTTCTCACTCCCTTTCTAAAAATCAATAAACATATTCTCGGTAAGGATTTTTTTTTTAAGTACTAGGAAGGATGGATCCAGTGCATTATCAGCTGAGAGTACAAGTTAGGGATCAGGGTGGAGGTAGGAATATGGTATGAGGCCTAAATGACTGCCCTGCCTTCTATAGGTCTCACCAGTGAACAATCATGGCTTCTCAGCTTCTTGGGCTGACAGAAGAGTCTGGCCTGAGCCCTGGGGAATCAGAACTGGCTGTGAACCCCTTTGATGGGCTCCCCTTCTCTTCCCGCTACTATGAACTGCTTGAACAGCGCCGAACCTTACCCATCTGGGCTGCTCGCTTTATCTTCTTGGAGCAATTGGAGAGTAGCCCCAGTGGAGTGGTGCTTGTGTCGGGAGAGCCTGGCTCTGGCAAGAGCACCCAGGTTGGGGAGGAATTCTGGGACTGGACAAGGGGAGGGGCTAGGGAACTGGCCCTTCCCTGGTCAGAGTGGGTTGGGGGAGGTAAGCAAAGGGAGTTGGGTTAGTCTGGCCCCAGGGTGGTGAAGAATCAGAATATTCCCCTAAATAAGGATAAGTAAAACTGGCTGTAGCTCCCCTAGCACATCTGGCAAGTCCTGTGTCTTGCTGACGTTGCCCTTCCCCAACCTTATCCCAGATCCCTCAGTGGTGTGCAGAGTTTGCGCTGGCCAGGGGGTTCCAGAAGGGCCGAGTAACTGTCACTCAGCCCCACCCTCTGGCAGCCCTGAGCCTGGCCGTGCAGGTTGCTGATGAGATGGACCTGACCCTGGGTCATGAGGTTGGATACAGCATCCCCCAGGAGGACTGCACTGGGCCCCACACCCTGCTAAGGTGAGGCCTCCTACAGGCCTGATGCAAATCTAATTCCCCTCACCCAAGAGGAACAAGTCCAGTCCTCTGACATCTTACCATACCCTCAACCCAGCTCACTCTTTAAATCATTCATTATGCAATGCTGAATTAAGCTCTTCAACCCCAGCCTGGACCTGACATTCATCCTCACCCTCATCACAGAATCACTTTCCCAACTGGAGTACAGTTTCTGTACAAAGTGCCGTCAGTCTATAAGGTTGTGGGTCACTGTTAAGGGTCCACAGACTCAGGAATTCAGTCATGGTCTTTTTCTGATCTTAACTATCAAAATCTAGGCTCCCTGGGTAGAAGCTCCCCTGGACTTCTGGGGCTGGTCAGTATCCACACTGACTCCTCTGCCCACTGCCAATGTCAACAGGTTTTGCTGGGACAGGCTGCTTCTTCAGGAGGTGGCCTCGACCCGGGGCTCTGGAGTCTGGGGTGTGCTGGTGCTGGATGAGGCTCAGGAGCGGTCAGTGGCCTCAGATTTGCTCCAGGGTCTGCTGCGACATGCCATGCTGGAAAACCTTCCAGGGGACCCCAGAGTGGTGGTGGTAACTGACTCAGCCCTTGAACCTAAGCTCCAAGCCTTCTGGGGAAATCCTCCTACTGTGCATGTACCCAGAGGGCCTGGCAGTTGTCCCACTCCCATCTACAGGGACACTGTCCCTACTAATCGAGTAGAAGCTGCCTGCCAAGCTGTGCTTGAATTGTGTCAAAAGGAGGCCCCGGGAGACGTGCTAGTGTACCTGCCCAGTGAGGAGGTAAAAACACAGGCTGCAAAAGGAGGTGCTCCTTACACCGCGTTCCTGCCCTGGGGGGTGGGAGCACTGCTTGTTAGGAGCACTGGAGCTGTAGTACTCCCACTGTTGGGGTCCTGAGGAAAAACTGAAGGATTTTAGAGTGAAGAGGTCTACTACCCTCTTTTTTATTTTGTCTAATGCAGAGATCGGTGGTTCAGTGAACTCCTGAAATTATAATACCCCCAATTTTTATGAGTATGTGCATTTTTTCAGAGTGAAGGGCCATAACTTTCATCAGTTTTCAAAGAGGTCTGTGACCCGAAAAGGTGAGAACTGCCCTAATGCCCCAACCCTCTCCCCAGGAAATTTCCCTGTGCTGTGAATCCTTGTCCAGAGAGGTAGGAACCTTGGATCTCCAAGGACCTCCACCACTGGTGCTGCCCCTTCACCCAAGCCATGGTCAAGCTGTTCAGGCTGTGTACGAGGACACAGATTCAGGTGCCCGAAAGGTTGTGGTCACTCACTGGCTGGCTGACTTCTCCTTCTCCCTCCCTTCTATTCGACATGTCATTGACTCAGGACTGGAGCTTCGAAGTGTGAGTCACAGAGATGAGGGCGTGTGGGAGCTAAAGATATAAATGGCCCACTCTGATCTGTCTTGACCTTGGTTGGGGGGTGGTGACAGGTGTACAATCCTCAGATCCGAGCAGAATCCCAAGTGTTGAGGCCAATCAGCAAGCGTCAGGCAGAGGCAAGACAACTACGGGCAAGAGGGACCCCTCCAGGTAAGAGCCTTCACCTTCACTGAGATCAACCATGAAAGAGTCACCAACATGCAAGCCATGAGAAATCTACAGTGGTCTTTCCCAGGTCTTTCTCCTCTCAGGATCCTGCCTCTGCCTATATCCTAAGTCCTTCCAAGAACTAGAAGCTCCCTCATTGCCCCAACCCAGAGTGTGTGAGGAGAATCTGAGCCCCCTGGTATTACTGCTAAAGAGGAAACAGATTGCAGAGCCAGGGGAGTGTCACTTCCTGGACCGGCCTGGTGAGCACCCTTTCTGCCCAAGTCCTGCTGTCTGATCATCAGGCTCTGAGAACCTCTACCCTATAAGCCCTGTTTCCTCACCAGCTCCAGAAGCACTGATGCAGGCTCTGGAAGACTTAGACTATCTGGCAGCCCTGGATGATAATGGGGACCTGTCTGACCTGGGTGTCATCCTATCAGAGTTCCCCCTGCCCCCTGAGTTGGCCAAAGCCCTGCTGGCTTCGTGCGAGTTTGACTGTGTGGATGAGATGCTCACCCTCGCTGCCATGCTCACTGGTATAACTCTCCTCTCTCCCTAGCTCTTTCTGCTACTTCAGTCCTTCTCCTTGGTGTTTTGGAGCTCCAAAGTTTATCCCTCTCTTGTCTCTTTAGCCTTTTCCTTCTGCTGGTTCTTCTCAACATGCTTGAATCTCCCCTATCTGTTATTACTAAACCTCTCTACCCCTCTTCCTCAGCCCTATACTCCTCTTCAGCTAGACAGTATAATCTCTATCCTATCCCATCTAGTGTTTTCCTCACCCACCACATTTCAGCTTCAGGCCCACCACAACAGTAAGGCAGCCTTCAGCTCACCAGTGGCCTCCCAAAGACCTCATCCAGTGGACACTTTTGAGCCCTCATTCATGACCTTTTGACACTTCAGAATGTCAACCACTCCCACCTTGAAACTGCTCCCGCTAAGCTTCTGTGACCACTCCTCATGGTTTTCATCCTACCTCACCAACCGTTCCCTTAATCTCTTACTTGGGCTCTTCATCTGCTTGTCCACTGTAGACTGAACCTCCAGGCTTTCTATTCTTGCCCCTTTTGTTCTCCCATTCCCTGAACTCTTTAAGCAAGTTCATCCATACCCATGGTCTGAAGGACCACCTTCACACTTAAAATTTCCAAACCTTGTATCTCCCTATCAGTACCACTCTTCTGAATCTTACATTTATATATCTGACTCTTCGTGGACATTTCCACTAGAACAGCCCACAGTACTTCAAGCTAGAACTAAACTTGGCCACTTTTTTAAACAACCTGCTCACCACTACCACAAAATCATATCATCATCTCCACAGCTCGATTACCATCATTCTAGACTAATATTTCTCCAGGTTCTTTCATTTTTATCTCCTAAATGTTTGTTTCAGTTAATCTGCTCACTGTCAGTGCCAGTGTCAGGTCCTGTCACTGCTCAGGGGACTCCTTCAGTAGTCTCCTAATTAGTCATGTGAAGTTCTTCAAACACAGGGACTCTTTTTACTTAAAAACTTCTTCAACAGCTATTTTTTACCTTCCAGACAGAATGTAAACTCATTTGCCCAGCACATCCAGCCTCTCCTGACCTGGCCTATACTTACTTCCCCAGCTTTATCTCTGCCATGCATGCCATTCCATCCACCCACACTGGTGCTTGCAGTTCTCCAAACATCCCATGCTATTAACTACCTGTTCCCACAGTCTATAATCCTCTCTCTACCCCTTCGCCACTGAGCTAATTCCTACTCAAACCTCAAATATTGGCCCATACACCTATTGTGCTCATCAAGTTTGCTTACTTATTGGTCTCTCCCACCAGACTACTTGAGAAGAGAGAGTATCTTTCATTTATCTTCAATGTATAATAAAGCACATAGCACCTAGAAGTTATCAGTGTCTTTTGAATTGACTTTCCAAAGTGACATTTCTACCTTTTCACCATTCTGCCTGTACTACTATCCATTCTCATTCCCCAAAACAACCTTCCTCTCTTCTGCCTCCAGCTGCTCCTGGGTTTACCAGTCCTCCACTCTGTGCAGAAGAAGCTGCCTTACGTCGGGCCCTGGAACATGTGGATGGTGATCACAGTTCTCTGATCCAGGTGTATGAAGCCTTTATACAGAGTGAGTGGCCCACTCAGCATCCTCATAGAATCCCAGATTTTCCACAAGTGGTGTACAACCAGCTGACAGATCTTTATGCTCAGGAAGAGGAGGCCCTTTGGCCAAGGGTTGGGTTCCTTTGGGAATGTCTAGGATTTTAGTTGTAGTTGGTCCCTTTCCTCTCTTAGGTGGAGCAGACAAGTCTTGGTGCCAGGCTCGGGGTCTAAACTGGGCAGCACTGTGCCAAGCCCAGAAATTTCGAGGAGAACTCCTAGAACTTATGCAACGAATTGAACTTCCCGTGTCCCAACCAGCTTTTGGCTCTGAGAAGAATCGCAAAGACCTTCAGAAAGCACTGCTGTCTGGATACTTCCTTAAGGTTAGGGGGAAAAGTTGGTGTCAAAAAGGAGCAGAAGGCAGAGAGACCAAAGATTGATATGACATCTCTGAAATTGGGGTCCAATGGCCATTCAAAGGGTTCTTTAGAATCAGGAGAAACGTCCTTTGAGGTTTGGGGATGCAAGGGGCTATGAAAATGTATTTTAGTGTGATAGGGACTATAACATCTAGAGTTAATGCTTTACTTTTAATACTCTCACCACCATTACTAATTCTTTCTAAGCTCCCTTTACTTTTTTTGACTGTCTGCCTCTTCTCTCTAATTTATTTCTTCAATATCATTGCCTTTCAATGAGGTGGCCCGAGACACAGATGGAACTGGAAATTACCTGCTCCTAACCCATAAGCACGTGGCTCAGCTCTCCCCGTACTGCTGCTACCGAAGCCGCCGGGCTCCAGCCAGGCCTCCACCATGGGTGCTTTACCACAGTTTCTGCATTTCCAAAGACAACTGCCTTTCCGTTGTTACTGAGATTCAACCACAGATGTGAGTTGTGTGACACCCCTTTTCCACTCCCCATTCCTCTTCCTGGGGCCAAAATTATGGCTGGGGAGTTAGAGAACCTTAAGAAAAAGATGGGATCACAGTGGTTTGAAGTAACATGATTTGAGAAGACAGGGTTTATGGAAGGGATAGTGCGATGTTTAAAAATCTGCTTTATGAGAGAGTATACAGAAATCATCTAATCATGTCTCTCTCTGTCAGGCTGGTGGAGTTGGCCCCTCCATATTTCCTGAGTAACCTGCCCCCCAGTGAAAGCAGAGACTTCCTGAACCAGCTGAGGGAAGAAATGGCGGATTCTTCCACAGAGAGTGAAGCCTCCTCCTCCCAAGAGTTTGTGCATGCCTGTGTCCTGCAGTGACCTGCCTGAGAAATGAAGTAGAACTCATTGTCTTCAATCCTCCCTCAGTTTAGCACCAAGGCAACCAGCCAGATGTAAAAGCTGAAAGTTTAGAGTCTAATATAAATCTGGGGACCTGAGTCTCTTAGTGGTGGACCAAGAGTGAAGGGCAACCAGTAAACCACAATCTACATAGAGTAGGACCCTTTCCTTAGCCTTCTATTTATTGGAGAGGGACTGATATGCCCCCATATCCCCAACTTAAGCCAACCTATTCTTGTGCTCCGTTTTGAGCTATAAAAGTTCTTTTTCTATGGTGCCAAATTTGAGTTTGGTTCTGCAGCAGCATATACAACATTCATGAGTTAAAGATGACACATTATCAATGATTCAGGGCCAAACCCCTCCAGCAATATTCCCTTGCCAGGTCAAGACTTTATGCTATGACTGACCTAGCTGTCACAAACACAGAACATGAGTAGTTTGGCTACAGTTGGCCTCTGACCCTGCCTAAAGCTTACTTCCCTCTATTACATTGCTGCTACCTCCAGGGAAGAATGGGGGCGCTATAGGAATCAGACAAAAGTCTTCCCTTTCATCCTCATAAAACTTAAATCCTGCTTTTTTAAACCTCAAGGCTACTGCAACCATCCCCAAACTCTAAAATTTTTATCAAAACTCTTCCCAGCAGCCCCTGGCCCACCCACAAGCTAAAGTCTTTCTAATGATTTCAATGTTGGGGGACATCATGCTTTCCTTTCTTTCCAGCTGCATATTCATTTCCCTTTTCTTCCCTTGGACTAGCGACTTTGATATCTTCTAGCACCTTGCACATTGTTAATGTGTTTGTAGAATTTAATGAGGAAAAATATTTAATCCTTAGAACTCTGCTTTTCTCTTTGGGAGATTCTGTCCTCATTATTCCATCTATCTCCACCTATATGTGGATGTCAACTGACTTCCCCCAAAGGCACTTTGCCAGAATTTAATCTCTCTAGGTCTAGTATCTAGTTTTGGGAGTAGAGTTTATCTTGTTCCTATCTTCCCAATTTCCCCTTCATCATCCACAACACCATTAATTTCCTGAGGCTCTCTACATTTCCAACTTTGGAATTATCTTTGATTCTATCACTTCCTAATAATTTGTGAAGTTCTGCTCACCCTAACTCCACTGGGCCCATTAATTTTGTCCACTCTTCCTCCTCTCTCCTCACTGTCCCGGCAAGATCAGTGTTCCTAGATTTCTCTTTCAACTGAAAAATGAAAACGAAGTATCTACCTCCCCTGCCGCCCAAGCGCATTGTGAGGCTCAACTGGGAGGATGTAGTCAGCAGTTTGAATACACACGGAATACATGAGGCTCAACAAAAAGAATCCTTAGCGATTATTTTACAGTAGAAGGATGAGATGCCCAATGTGGATAACCCTCTGATTCCTGTCACAGCCACTGTTGTTGGCGTCTTCCTTCCAACACACGTTTGGCGCCGAGGCAGCCAGTGCGGCTGCCCCCATCACAGAACCACCTTTTTACCTGCTCTGGTTCTGCAGAACCACAGTTCTGACCCACCCGCTGAAGACCCCAAAGTCCCTCAGGAAAGCAACTCCCATTGGCCAACCCACCCCCTCTCCGCACCTCATTGGCTACTGTACTTAAGGTCCCGCCCTCTCGGCCCCTCAGATTCCTGCAGCAGAGAGACAATCTAAGTGGAAAACGGCGGGAAAGGCCGCATCTTGGCTTGCGGGGCAAGCTTGCCACGTTGGCCTGGGAGCCTGGGGTAGCCAAGGAGCCCTCGACGACGATGACGAGGACGAGAGCCTTGAGGCCTGCTCCTCCTCACAAGTTGCACTGCTACAGGACCTCGGCAAGGGCAGCCGCACTCCCCACAGCCCTGGGTCTCGCGCTCCACGCAGCGCATAGGTCTGGAAAAGCGCTCAGTCCGCCAGGCAGGCGTAGCTCACACCACCGAAGCGAGCCCGGACACGGAAGCCACTTTATTGTCTTCAGCCCAGGGCTGCAGGTTCTGCAGCGCGAAGAGAGACGAGTTGTGTAGGCAGAGCGGGTCTGGGGGCAGTGGTGGCCGCAGCGGCCGTGGTAGCGCGTCCTGCTGCAGGTGCAGGAGCAGTCGGCCCGCGCGGTGCCGCTCCGCCTCGCGCTCCTCTGCCGTCTGGCGCCTGGACAGGAGAAGATACCGGGTCAGCGAGACCAGTCCTCCGCCACCCACCGCCAGTTGGTCGGACCCGTGGTCCTTCCCCACCCAGCGCCTCACCGCCACTTGGTGCGCCGGTTCTGGAACCATGTCTTGACCTGAGCGTCGGTCATGCGCAGGGCCTTGGCCAGCGCTGCCCTCTCCGCCGAAGCCAGGTATTTCTGGCGCAGGAAGCGCCGCTCCAGCTCTAGCACCTGCGAACGGGAGAAGGACGTGCGCGGCTTCTTCCGCTTTGGGGGCGTTCGGTTTTGGTAAGGGTGGCCAATGCGGCGCGTCCCGGAGAAGGGGGAGAGCGCGGCTGCAGGGAAGAAGAAAGCAGGGCAGGGTTTTCGGGGCGGCCCGAGGTGTCCCTGAGAAGAAAGGGTGGCTACCCAGGCGGCAGAGCTTCTGCGCCTGGTCCTTACCGGTGCCCCAGCTTGACCTCGCATCAGTTGAGGCCTCTAGACAAGAAAGGGCCTCGGAAGAAACGGCCTTGGGTGAGGGAGAATGGTCCCTGTAACTTCACCCTGCTCTCCCCGTGGTGTGGACAGTGGAGGTGTGGACATTGGACTGCAGAGAAGGCGTGGGCATCCAGGGTATCTCCCTTCCCATCCTCCCTCAGCAGCGGGACCAAAACATACAAGTCAGTAGGGGTCCCCTGAAATGATCTAGGGGAGGAGTATGAAATGGGACCTGGATTTGGATCCGAAGGATCAAAGATGAGGAAACCCGGCCGGTGTGGGACAAGGCACTAGAGGGGTTGGGCAACCTCACCCGTGAGCCTGTCCTTGGCAAAGCGGCGGCCGCTGTCCATCCAAGGGAAGGTGAGTCCCGCTAGGCCCCCGGTGCCGCCCAGGCCCGAGGGGCCAGGCACCACAGGCGCGCCTCCCGCAGGCGGTGGCACTGGCAGCGGGCGGTGCGCCGGGACTCGGATCACGCCGCCCGGGCCCATGCTTGAGCTGCCGGGTAGCGGGCCCAGCGAGCCAGAGGGACCATAGCTTGAGGCTCCGTGAAATCCACCTGAGAACGCTGCACTCTCCCCATGGCCCTGGCCCGTGCGACCTGGGCCTAGGCCGCTCCCGGTGGGCTCCGGGCAGCTCAGGATCTGATCAATGCCGAAGCTGATTGGTTCGTGGTGCGGGAGGTTGTGTGAGGCCAACACCGCGGGCTCCATGGGTCCGGGTCAGAGAAGACCGCAGGAGGTTCGGCGGTTGTGGAGGACGCCCCAGGCAGCTCTGGGGAGCCCAGCAGCGGAGCGCTCAGGGCGGCGGCCTCAGGGGCCCGTGGAGCTGGGTGCAGCTGGGCGCCAGGGCCCCCAGGACAGCTTCATCCCAGTGCACGGGGAGTAACCGCGCCCATGCCGGCCTCTTCGGGGCGTCGGTGCAGGAACTCGCATCCCGGGGGAGTGCGACCCACCAGGGTCCCAGGAACGCCCTTCTGTCTCCAAAGTGCAGATGGACGTTGGGCTGGCAGGGCCTCTGCCCGAGTCCGGGGTGGAGAAGGTTGGCTAGTTCTGGCTAGGGCAGTGACTGACAGATCTGCCTCCGGTGGGCAGGGGGGCTGGGGGGAGGGCAGGGGCGGGGTCCAGCCCGTTAAAGGGGAAGAGACGCCTGTTTGCGTCAAGCGAGGGGAAGACTGGCCGGCGGGAATGGAGGGGGTGGGGTGAGGAGGTGGGGAGGGTGTTAGGAACAAGGCTCAGCCCGGGAGGGGTCAGAGCTTGGAAGGCTACGCTCTGAGTCAGCCAAGATGCGCAGGGCTACTCCATCCTCACCGGCCTCCGCCTTTGGGCTTCCTCGTAGGTGTCTCTTCCCACATCCCCCGCTCTTCGCCTCCCGATGAGTCCTGCCTGCGGACTCCCGGATTCGTTGTGCCCCCCGCCTAAGTGCCCTCGAAGACCAAATCTCGTTGTGGCTTCCAGGATGCGACGGGAAGCGGCTGGGAAACGGCGCCGGCAGCTTGAAGGCCCGGGAAGAGGACAGGTGTGGGAAGCGGTGGCCGGGCGCATCTGGTGGGCTAGGGCGGGAAACAGCCACTCTGGGCCAGTGTCCTGTTGCATCTCCTGCCTCTTCCATAGAACCCCTGGCTCCTTTCGGGAGCGCCAGTAATCGGTGCCCTTGTGTTTCTTAGAATTTTGATTTTCTCAAATCGGTGTAAAGTGGACCAATTCAGGCCCGTGTGAGTTTGGGGCTGCCATTCTGCCCCCGACAGTAGACTGCTAGCGACGGACTCTGCCCCTCCACTTTGCGCCTAGGATGTCTATTCTCACACACTCCCACCCCCCAAAGGTGGGCGGACGAAATCTCCATAGGGGACATGTGGGACCACACTGAAGCCCTCAGGGGATCCCAGCCGCTTCATTTCCCTTAGATGCTTCACTCTACCCAAGCACAGGAAACTGTGCTGAGAGCATGTCAGAGAAGGGATGTGGGGAAAGACTGAAGCGGCTTAGTAACCTTATGACCTCTGGCCGAGGACCCAGGACCTGGGAGTCTGTGAATTCTGCATCCTTCCCCAGGATGGGACCCCTGGCAGGGAGGGCCCCTTCGCCTTAGTCCCGCCCCTGCCGCCGCCCGGCCCGGTGCAGGCCGCCATAATCGGGTTAGCTGGGTCGGAATTACATTACCTTCCCTGGCCCGCCCCGGCCCCGGGGGGGCCCTGGCGCCTCCAAGCCGGTGAGACTGGTCACAGGGAGGGGGATGTTCTTAACATCCCGAGGCTGGTTGGCATGATGCGCGGCTTGGCCTGCCTCAGACACGTGGTGGCCAAGGGGTCCCACCCCACTGTGCCAACCCTAGCCCCTCGACCCCAGTCCGCTCTGGGCTCAGTTCCAGGTTGCCCAGTACTCCATGGGAACCAGCATGCCTTCTAAGTCTAGTAGATGGGTCTCCCT